ATGCAAATTCTTGTGGCGCGGCGTTATTTATAACGCGTGCGCATTAAATTTTCTTGAAATTCAAATTTCCGCGATTCCGCGCGCCATTAGCTGCCGCTTTTTTTCTTTTCTTTTGCATGGTCGTTCCATTCCAAATGAATTCCAAATGAAAAAGAGAAAAGAAATCAACGATCTCTAACGATCTCGCGAGAATTATTTCCCATCGAAATCGTTACATTTTTTCCAATAAACCCTCGGAAACGCTATTTCGAGGTTGAATATAGCCAAGATTCGTCGGGAAAGAGAGAGGAAAAAAAGATCGATTAAAAAGATTGCAACTCGATGGATCGGTCCGATCCGAATGCACGAATCAACAAGGACAGGGATAATTAGAAACGGGCATCATTAATTATCGCGGTGATTGATGGCCGTTCGTGGAACACGAGGATGAACAAGAACGGGAAATCGAGTTCTGTCGCGAAATTTGTGCGACAATCGGGACGAAAATTTATTATAACGTGGTGGCGCGAGGGCTCGTATTCGGAACTGAATAAATTCTTCCAACTTTGAAAAAGGGAACTTTGAAATTCGTTCGATTCGATCGAAAGCTTTCAACATTTTTCTACGAGCAAGCATAAAATTTTTAACCGTTGCGATCGAAGGAAGGAAAAAGTTATTATATCGATTCGAAATCGTAGGCGAAACAAATATTCGCGTCGGCGTAAATCCATCGATTCTAGAATTAGAATTTCATCGGCAGTATTCTACGGAGCGATAAATTCGAACGGTTGATGTCTTTGTCACAGCTATAAATAATTGATGAATTTTCGAATGATAGAGAACGGTGAAATGATGGTACAAAGGGAGGAAAATGACGCGATTCTTTCATTCAAATCCAGAGACGTTCTCCGCTCAATGGAACTGTCACAAAAGCTGGTGTCACAGAGGAAAATACGAACGCAATTTTCGTTTCGATGAAACGAAATGCGAGAATATTCTTCGCCGCACTTTCCCCTCTCCCCCATTCTCTAATTTCATATCGCGATCGTACAACGATAACCAAAGGAAATATACGATATAATAAAAGGAAATATACAACATAATTCCCGTCCCGAATTATAAATCTTTCTTATAAATTCAAATTTATCTAGCATTCACGTATTCCAAAGACGATTAATTTTTACATTTTGTAATAATATTGGTATTTACGATATTTCGCGTGATAAAAATACATATTATTTAGAAATTTATTTACTTAAACAATCGAGCTTCCATCTCGACTAAATATTTTCGTAATATTCTGCTACGAGAAAGAATTTGTGGACACACGGATGAATTCGAGTATCGGATCGAAGAAGGCAGTGTCGCGGTGTTGTTTGCCTCGACGCGATGTATTTTCATAGAAAGCGTATCTACGAATATTTACGGTTAGCCTGGAGCCAGCCTCGAGTTTACGAGCGTGCAAGAAAATTGTTTGAAATGAGTTGCGCGAGAACCGAGGTGAGGTTGTCTCGTTCTCGTAAACGAGAAATAACGCAATTGAATTTCTTGCTCGTGTTTCGAGCAAGGTTACCACTGCCCCTCCCCCCTCTCCCGTTCACGGCCACCATTCCTCGTCTCGCTTTCTCGCCATCTACCGCGAAAATTTTGTCGAAATGGAAACAAGTTCTCCACGGGGACAACGTGCACGGAAAATCCATCCATCGTTCGAGATCAGCCGTCTCTCTCTCGTGGTTTGGAAAAGTTTCGAGCGTATCTCCGATCGTTAACCGCGCAATCTTTCGATTAAAAGTAACGAGGAGGACGGAACAGGGATGATTGTTAATCTATCGGAGTTTCCTCCTCGGTAAACGAAACTCGGAAAGAACTTGTCCCAAACCGGAAACTTCGAAGTTTAGCGAACCGAGAGCCTCCTCCGCGGTTTTGTCTATCGATTAAATTTAATAGTAACGATAAGTTGAAGCCGTTTTAAGTGTTTTGTATGGTGCTTAACGATAGAGGGCGAGTCGGTAATTGCGCTACCGCGAGAAGAAGAGACGGTTTTTCCCAAGCTTTGAAAACTTTTTAATATCTTGGGATCAGATTTTATAAACTTTGGCCTCTAAGCTAAAAAAAAAACACTAAAAATGCGAAACATTTTTCCAAGAGATTTTTCGTCGAGATTAGAATTTAATTAAATTATTCTCTCTCTCTTTTTTTTTTTCCTTTCCCTTTTGCTTTCTTTCACTATATTCTACGAAATTATATAATTCCTTTGGATTATATTCGAAGAGATTACGTCGGTTTCGTATTCATCACGAGTAGATTCTAGAGAGAGAGAGTATTATACAATTATACGTGATATATGGATTACATCAATCTAATTAAATATATAATACAGAATTTGTAATTAACAAACGCATGTATATATATGAAGGATAAACTAAACAATAATTGATTACTGACCAATAATACTCCCCTTTCGTTCTGTCGATAATCACTTGCAAACTATCGATACCGATTATCGTATCACGATTGTGTTACGATCGTTAGAGGTCGCGTTACTTTTTCACTCGATTCGAAATTTATTCGAGAAAGATCGATAGTATCCATACGTCGTTAAGGATATAGCGAAACGTAGCTATCACGCATATTGCGCCTCTAGATGCGAACACGCATTAATATCAAATATCCAATTTGCTTTACACGCGTATGTGGTCGGTGTATCGATAATATCCGCATTGCCCGGTTTCTAATAAATAAGATAATATTATTAAAGTTATTCAAGTATATAGGGAAAATCGATCTTTTCGTGCAAAATTTAATTTTCGAATTAGATTCGCGTTTTAATCTCGTCGTGGCTGATGCTCTATCGCTCCAAGTTTTTTTATTCTACCAACTACCGACTCATTTCCGAGAGGCGAGTTTTCAAAACAATGAAACTCGTCACGACCAAAGTTTTCAAACGGGAAAGTTATGGAACTGGAAATAAAAAAACTTTGCAACGAAGATAAGGAAGAATCGCAGGAAACGAGGAAAAGATGTACTCCATCCACTAATTACCCGCTTAGATAAATTGTTCATTTTGGCAATAAAAATTTACGCAAAAAAAAAATTCGTATTGGAATATATTTAACGGAGGAAATGTTCGTAAAGATGTTCTACATTTTTCTTTTCACTCCTTCGTTCAATTTTTCCCGGTTACTCGGTTAAGGTTCCGAGGCTGACGAAGAGGATGGAAACTTTTTGCCAGATTATATTGCCGTCGACTCGCGGAATTAGCGGGAAGCTGTGTCGGATCAAGAGAGGCAAGATTTCGGTTTTCTCGTTCCCGGGGAACGAGCACTTCCCGACCGGAAACAAAAGCCGCAGACGGATCGCGTCTGGTTGATCGATAACAAGGATTAATTTGCCAGCCGAGGCCGGTCGCGCCTACGTTTCCACCAAGACGATGACAATACGCTACCCTTCCAGAAATTACGCGAAAATTCCCTCGATACCCTTCCTCCCCCCTCCCCCCAATCGATTCCTCTATTTTCCTTAGGAAAACACCAATTAAGCGACCGCTATCTCATCACAGATTTAATCGATCCGGCAAAACTTTGTTTACCTCGCAAACACGTTTCGAGGATTCGATTCTCGGTAATGCACCGCCTTTAATTTCATCTCTATCCAATTAAAACTATTTTAAAGAAATCGTATCGTTTGATATTTAGATCGAAGATGTGATATGATTTTGCTTTAACGTTCGCGTGTATTCACGCGGAAAAGAAAATAATTTTAATATTTCTCGTAGGAAAAATGAAAAAAAAAAAAAAAAAATAAAAATAGAGAGAAATGAAAATTACGCGTATATTTGTCTGGATCTGGTTACTATAACGAACGAAATATCAGAGTTTCCGTAATAAACTTTGTAAGTGCGTACAATGAATGCTAGCGATATTATACCATGAAAGTGTTTCCTAGCACAGAGTTTACATTACATTTGGTACAATAATAAAATATGTCTTTATTGCAAATTCGCTATGTTCCTTCGTAATAAATTCAAGTACTTAGTATCCTTGCTGTAATTTATTCTTCTTAATAAATTCTTGTACGTAAGTAAGAATTAAATCTATCATCAACGATGATAACGCGCGAGATGTAATGCATTGTGAAAATGCGATTCCCTTTTCCTTTTGAAACTTATTCTCGAAAATCTCGCACGTAAGGATCGTGATGACTAAAAGGCTAAGAACATTTTAAAGAAGCTCGTGGAAATATAGCGCAAGGAAGCTCGATTTATGACGTTGATATAATGAACTAATTTCCGTGCTTTCAAAAGCTTCCTTACTTTCCCAATGTTTATCGAGATCCCGCAACTTTTACGATTTAAAATCCCAACACGACTGCCATCGAGTTCGAGAACAGCGTTTATCAAAGTTTCGAGAACACGACTAAAGAAAATTTCCTCGAAACATCGTAATATAGAAAGAAAATTTAATAATTTAATAATTTCGATCGTAATTTAATTTCGAAGATAATCATTCGATACTTCGACGAAAAAAAAAAAAAGAGGAAAAGAAACGTAATTTAGGAAATTAATGAAATCTCTGTAAATTTTAATACTTTATCCGTCATTAAAAACGAAAAACGAAAAAGAAAAAGAGAAAAAAAAAATATATAAATCGATGGTCGAACCAACACGCGGATAACACGAGGTAGCGCAAAAACACGTTCTATCGGGGACGAGAGTTTAATCCTGACAACAGTCACGTGAAAATAATTACAGGCCAAAGCTGCGTGGCTCGTTCAGCGCGCGATAAATCAACGCGCGCAACGGGTGGGCTTAAACGGTAACGTACAGAGCAAACGCGGTAATACAGAAAATTCGTGCTGACATTTCGTCCAGCTATCGCCTAACCTAACTATTTTCCCTCCATACATTTATATTCGAGTCGAAAACGTGTCGCACGATGATATGGGATAAAGCACTACGATATCTTAATGACTCGCGTAAATAAAAGTAAAACATGCGAAAATAAAGATGTAAAATCACTCACCCTCATGGTCGTAACCTCACATGGTTCCTCCCCCGTTGTTGAAAGACACCGTCGAGCTGCAGCGGATCAGGAGTCTCGTGTTTATCACCCATTCGCCATGCCGAAACGACGACTGATTTCAAGGAAGAACTACCGCGAAACGTACGACACTTCGAACGGAACTAATCGATACACTGCTCGATATTACGTATCACTCTCACACTTGCCCGATATCTTTTGTTTTGTTTTCGCGAATAAACTTTACGATCGAACTACGATTCACTTTGCAACTATTTGGCACTATTTCTTGGGAGGGGAAAAAACCGATAGATAAACAACGATGGTTAGAATTATATCGAGATGTCGAGTAGGTGTTGTTAAAATTCGCGACACTCCGAGTTATAGATAGGATACGAGAAGCGTGGCTTTCGATGTTTCGACACGGAAAGGAGAGCAAAGCCAGACGAGATGCGAGGTCGTGGCCCGGCAGCCGGCGACTGGCTGCTGCTCGAAACCTCGCAAGCTCGAACCAGTCGGCCTGGCTAGGCGCAAGCTCCCTACTCAGCCTCCAAAACCCTCCCATGTGAAGCTCCCGATGCCCCTGAATTTCTTCGGTATGTCACCACGAAAAATGTTGCTGCGCGCTCCGTACACTCGCCTCTAACCTCCATTGCCACTCGGTCGCGTTCACAATGAGTTTTTGTCGCGTCGATCGAGTCGCTTACTCTTTGTCATCTTTCTCGACATTGACGATAGATTAATATACGTAATATCTACAATATTGACTCTTTAAATATTCTATATAGATACACAGATCGCGAATAATTTATTAAAACTGTATTTCTATCGTGTAGTAAATGTAATACATCTTTTGACGCCATCTATTGTGCAAATGAAAGATTTTTGTTCGGAAAAGAACGCGATTCAATCGCGCCAATCAGAGCACGCCTTTAAATATCTTTCACCTGATTGGCACGCTCTAGCTACAGAAAAATTTCGTACTAAGCTATGGCAAATATATCGATTGATTTTTAAGGTTAAGATCGATATTTTCTAAAAAATTGTTATATCTTGTCGTTAGTAATTTAAAATTGAATCGCTTGTTTTAAATTTGAATTATATTTTTAATTTTTAATTGAAATAAAAATTATTTATTCATTCGCATTCACTTAATGATTAAAACTGAGAATATAATGAATACATATCTGGCAAACATCCGTATATTTGTTTCATTTCTTGTAAAGAAATGAAACAAAGGTACAAGAATGTATTATTTGAAATATATTTTCTTGTTTTGAAATATAATTAAAAATAGAAAGTTTCTAAAGCGAAAAGCAATAAAGTGCAAAGAAACTTTTTACATTTATATCACTATTTTATTACCTTTGTCTCTACTTTCTTATTTACAATTTTATTCTATATATGCAATTATAATGTTTGCTTAATAAAATATACTTTTTATATAAATTACTTTACCGATTATCCTCCATACATAAAAAACTAATAAGTTTTTTTTTCAATCGAACGCAATAAGATATTTTTAAACACAGTTACGATTAAAAAAGGAAAAAAAAAGAAATAATAACTCTATTAATGATAAAAAAAACCGCCGATTAAGCTAAATAACACTCCGAATTACTGCGACGTGACTTTAACGTTCTCTCACGAGCGCGTCTCTTGTATAACTGCTCGAGTCAAGTAAGCGGAAGTACTACTTCAATCAATGTATATACGCTTGCGTTTCACTTTGAGTAAAAAGATTCGTTCTCCTAGCACTTTTAACATCATTGTTAAAACTACGATTTCTTACTTAAGCAATTTATTTATTTAAATGTTCATAGAAATCTTCATAAAAGAAAAACGAAACTTAAAATGCGCTTATTTTATAGTAATCTATATACGATAAATGATATACTACAACACGTTGGATAAAATATTTTGAATTTTTCTTTTTCAAAAACGCTTACCTCTTCTTTTAGATAAGAAGAAGTCTCATCCTTTCTTATCTCCTCTTTGATATCTTTGACGTTTTTATAAATATTCGTGATTCATCCAAGCACTTGATACAAACACTTTGCATACTTCCTTCTTTTCAACGCGCAATACTTTATCCAATTAACGTTTTACGAAAAATGTCGATCTTTTATAAACTTTCGGGTACCAAGGGCCAACCAATCAGAACACATCCTTAAATATCTTTTACGTGATTGGTGCATTGCTGCTATCGAAATTTTTCGCAATTAAAGAAAAGTAACAAAGGAATCTTTCTTGCTTGTTTAATCACAAAACAAATACTTTTATCCTTATTTTCTTTCAAAATTTTTAAACTAATTGGAATAATATAAGTAATTTGTATATTATAAATACATTGTAATGTAAATTGTTGTTCCATAATGCGAGAATTTATAAAATTAATATATTTTTAAATATTCGCGATTCAATTAAGCATTTTATACGCGTTTTCCACTTTTCAACACGAAACATTCTATTCAACTGACATATTTCACGAAAAATGTCGACCTTTTATAAACTTTTGAGTACCAAGGCCTAACCAATCAGGACACGTCCTTAAATATCTTTTACGTGATTGGTGCATTGCTGCTATCAAAATTTTTCACAATTAAAGCAAAATAACAAAGGAATCTTTCTTGCTTATTTAATCAAAATAAATAGTTTTATCTTTATTCTCTTTCAAAATTTGTAAGTTAATTGCAATAATATAGGTGATTTGTATATTATAAATACATTGTTATTCCATAAAACGAGATTTTATAAATTTGATATATTTTTGAATATTCGCGATTTCTTCAAAAATTTAATACAAAAAATTAGCACGCGTTTCTCTTCTTAATACGTAATATTCTGTTTAATTCACGTTTTATGAAAAATGTCAATATTTTATAAACTTTTGGATAAAGCCCAACCAATCAGGACACGTCTTTAAATATCTTTTACGTGATTAGTGCACTAGTGCTACTAAAATATTTCGCATTTAAAGAAAAGTCGCAGAAATTCGCAAAATAAATACTTTTATCTTTATTCTCTTTTAAAATTTTTAAACTAATTGGAATAATATAGGTATAGTATATATACTAATATAGTAATTTGTATATTATAAATACATTATAATGTAAATTGTTATTCCATAATGCGAGAATTTATAAAATTAATATATTTTTCAATATTCGCGATTCACTTAAGCACTTTGTACGCGTTTTCTATTTTTCAACACGAAATATTTTATTAAACTGACATTTCACGAAAAATGTCGACCTTTTATAAACTTTTGGGTACCAAGGCCCAACCAATCAGGACACGTTCTTAAATATCTTTTACGTGATTGGTGCGTTGCTGTTACTAAAATATTTCGCATTTAAAGAAAAATCGCAGAAAATCGTTTTTGCTTATTTATTTATAAAATAAATACTTTTATCTTTATTCTCTTTTAAAATTTTTAAATTAATTGGAATAATATAAGTAATTATAATAATATGTGTATATTATAAATACATTGTAAGGTAAATTGTTATTCCATAATGCGAGAATTTATAAAATTAATGTATTTTTAAATATTTGCGATTCATTTAAGCATTTTACACGCGTTTCTCTCTTTTCCACAAAGAAATATTCTATTGAACTGACATTTCACGAAAAATGTGGATCTTTTATAAACTTTTGGATAACGGAACCAAACCAATCAGGACACATCTTTAAATATCTTTTACATGATTGGTGCACTAGTGCTACTAAAATACTTCGCATTTAAAGAAAAGTAACAAAGGAATCTTTCTTGCTTATTGAATCACAAAATAAATAGTTTTATCTTTATTCTCTTTCAAAATTTGTAAGCTAATTGGAATAATATAGGTGATTTATATTACAAATACATTGTAATATAAATTGTTGTTCCATAAAGTAAGAATTTATAAAATTAATGTATTTTTTAATATTCGCGATTTAAGCGTTTTCTACTTTTCAGCATGAAACATTCTATTAACTAACATTTGACGAGAAATGTCGACCTTTTATAAACTTTTGAGTATCAAGGCCCAACCAATCAAGATACGTCCTTAAATATCTTTTACGTGATTGGTGCATTGCTGCTACCGAAATTTTTCGCAATTAAAGCAAAATAACAAAGGAATCTTTCTTGCTTATTGAATCACAAAATAAATAGTTTTATCTTTATTCTCTTTCAAAATTTGTAAGCTAATTGCAATAATATAGGTGATTTGTATATTATAAATACTTTGTGATATAAATTGTTGTTACATAAAGTAAGATTTTATAAATTTGTTATATTTTTAATATTCGCGATTTATTCAAAGATTTAATACAAAAATTTTACATGCAATATTCTCTTCTCAACACGCAATATTTTGTTCAATTGTTTTACGAAAAATGTCGATCTTTTATAAACTTTTGGATATCGAGACTCAATCAATCAGGACACGTTCTTAAATATCTTTTAGGTGATTGGTACTACTGCTAAAATATTTCGCATTTAAAGAAAAATTACAAGAAATCTTTTTTCCTTATTCTGATATTAAGTTATGCCTTAATAATTTTTGAAAATTTTTCCTGCTTTACAAATTCCTACTCTTTTTTTGTTGCAATAACTTGATTTTATTTTTTTATTCACTATTATTTTAAGAGTATAGAGAGTATAGAGAGTGTATTTAACCTCTAGGTAATTTTACTCATTTTCCTATTATATTTTCACAAGTTTTTTAGCTTGTAAATAAAAAAAAAGAAAATTTTTTTGTTTAATTATTCGCAAAATAAATGTTTTTAAGCAAATTGTTCGAATAACCTAAGTAATTCATATTTATTATAATAAATACATTGCGACATAAATTGTTGTTCCATAATGCGAGAATTTAAAAAATTAACATACTTTTAAATATTCGCGATTCATTTAAGCACTTTACACGCGCTTTCTAATTTTTAACTCGCAATATTCTCTTCAAATGACGTTTCACGAAAAATGTCGATCTTTTATAAACTTATCTGTACCAAGGGCCGACCAATCAGGATACGTCTTTAACTATCTTTCACATGATTGGTGCATTGCTGCTACTAAAATATTTCGCATTTACAGAAAAATCGCAGAAATTTGCAAAATAAATACTTTTATCTTTATTCTTCTTTAAAATTTTTAAACTAATTGGAATAATATAGGTAATTTGTTATAAATACATTGTAATGTAAATTATTATTCCATAATACGAGAATTTATAAAATTAATGTATTTTTAAATATTCGCGATTCATTTAAGCACTTTACACGCGTTTCCCTCTTTTCAACACGAAATATTCTATTGAACTGACATTTCACGAAAAATGTGGATCTTTTATAAACTTTTGGATAACGGAACCAAACCAATCAGGACACATCTTTAAATATCTTTTACATGATTGGTCCACTAGTGCTACTAAAATATTTCGCATTTAAAGAAAAATAACAAAGGAATCTTTTTTGCTTATTTATTCGCAAAATAAATATTTTTATCTTTATTCTCTTTTAAAATT